AAAAGACCCAACGAAACCATCAAAACCGACGCGGAGGAGCCCACGCGGCGCAGCTGGGGTGAGAGGCCGCTAGGTGGCAGGGGAAGCTCGGTGCGAGCTCAGACGGATCCTCTGCATCCTCAGGAATCCTCCTGCGAACGAAGGTGCTGAGGTCTCCCCCCGAGGGGAACGAGTTGGAGAGCAAAGTGCTGCGGGAGGTACAGCGGGGTTATTCTTGGGGTGAGGGGGGAAGTTCCATCTTTGGTCCAGGCCGGGAGGCAGCTTTGTCACAACCCTCCCCACCCCCGAAGTCCTGCTTCACCCCTGAGCCAATCCACCCCTCTCTGTGCCGGTGCAGACGGATGAGGATGGATGTGACCGCGGGGCGAGCAGCGAGGAGCGAGGCAACGTCGCCTGACAGCGTGGTGAGTTCCAGGCAGTGCCTGCAGCCCAACGTTCCCAGCCAGGCTCATCTCCACGCCGTCCCCAGGGGATGCACAGCAAGGAGATGCTGCAGTCATTTGGGTTCTTGCTGTGGGAAGAAAGGACAGCCAAGCTTAGCGAGGATCCAGACCTTGCTTGGTTGAGAGGTGCTTCCTGCCAGCTCTGCTCCGTGCCTTCGTTTTCTCCACCTGACACAGGGAAGAGCTGCGGGGAGGGCTTTTCTTTAGGGTGCTGCGCTGGGAAGGGGCGTACTGAGCTGAAGGGCAAACAGCAGAGACTTTTTCTATGGATCCTGTCGACCACTGCCATTAAAACACCTCTGTCTTCTTTTGTAACTTCAGTATTTGGCCGTGAATTCACACATGGTTTGCCAGGGAAGAAAGCAAAGCCCCCAGGATCCCTTCACCCCTCACAGCAGTGCTGGGGAGTCACAGGTTCCTCATTTGAGCCACGGATTTCATGCTTAGCTCTAACCCCTCCATTACCTCAGCCACCAGAGGGTGCCACAGCCCGGGGCCTGGCCGTGGTGACAGCCTGGTCCCCTACATGCAGGTGGCCTCCCTTCTCCCATCCAGCTCCTTGCACCAGGAGGATCCTTCCTCCAAAGCAGCCAAGTGTCACTCAGTTCCCTTGAGAGAGGGATGCCCCATGATCCTGGTTGGCACCACACTGAAAATACACTGAGATTTGAAATGAGATTGGGGGGGGGGGGGGCAAAAAAAAACAAAACAAAACCAGAAGACAACAACAAACCAACTATTTGCTTCCAGGCTGACCAAAAATGTTGGCTTTTAGATGGGGCTCTTTAATTCCTTTTAGAAATGATGGAGAAAAATTTGGAGGCTGGCGCGCTGCTCCACATCAGGAGTTGAAAACATTTGCCTTTGATACACATCAAACCAATGCTGTAACGTTCCCAGGGATCCCCACTTGCTCATTACTAAGAACCCAATGAAATCGAGGTGCGTGCTGAGTGCTTTGGTTCCATTGCATTTCCACAAAAAAAAAAAAAAAAAGGGAGCCCAGCATCACGACATGAGGCTCCATCCTCACTGCAGGCCCTGGGGGTTTTACTCCTGGTCCATCCTAACCTCACTCCAGGCTCTGTTCCATGG